CTGCTGAAGCAGGCTTGTCTAGATCAGGAAGAGAGATGGGGAAGTGGGCAGATTCAGGCTGGATGTGAGGAAGAAGTTCTTCCCCATGAGAGTGGTGAGACCCTGGAATGGGTTGCCCAGGGTGGGGGTTGAGGCCCCATCCCAGGGGGTCTTTAAGGCCAGGCTGGATGAGGCTCTGGGCAGCCTGATCTAGTGGGAGGTGTCCCTGCTCATGGCAGAGGGGTTGGAACTGGGGGATCCTTGTGGTCCCTTCCAGCCCTGACAGATTCTGATCTGTTTTGGCAGAGGACTTTGGAGCCCTGGTGGCTCGGTGGTTGGACTTGATGATCTTGGAGGTCCCTTCCAACCTAATGGATTCTATGATTCTAATTTGACTCAGCTGTCCTCAACAAATTTCCTGTCAATACTCTACCACCTCTAATCTATGTGATGCTACACTGAGCTGCTGTTACCATTTAGTACAACACCAATTGATCAGAAAGGGATGATTATTCCTTAAGTTTCTACATCTATTGCTGAAAAAAACCCAGCAGTGCTGCACAAAGGAACGAAGCGATTACGACAGTAAAATACAACACATCCAACTTATTGTTTTAAACAACAGAAAGAACAGCACACTAGAGAGCAAAGCAGATACCTGGCAGGGAGAGTAGTGAGACAGGAGACCTCTCCGATGTCGTTGATTTTGGAGAGCACCGTGTCCAGGTGCTCAGTGTTGTCTGTGCAGAATTCTACCCGGTGAGTGCCCTCCCCTGGACAGCTTGGTGCAGCTGATGGGTGCAGTGGGGTGGAAGTGCAGGCACCTGAGGAAACAGTACAAGATGGCTGGTTTATAAACCTGGATAAGTATCCCAATACTGATTTAGCACATATCCTAAAGGGATGCAACAATAAGATGCAAGTTTTGCACTTGAGTCCATTTCCCCTGACCAGAACTGAGGACTTCTTGCCCTGTTGTTGCCATTAGGCACATTTTACACCTATTTTAAGTGCAAAGAAGTTGATGGATGTATATTATTTATCATTCTTAATGCCACTTGTTTTATCCTAACAATTGTACAAACCCAAAATAATTTCTGGTTTGCAAATCAGGCTGGAAAGGGCATAGCTGTTTCATTTATGAGCCACAACACAGGATAAAAATCTAAAAAAATTTCAGAAACCTTAAGTTCTAGACAAACAACGAGATCTTGCATTTTATAAATTGGTGATTTAAAGTCACTGGTCTAGACTTTGCAACCAAGATGGAAAATAAACAAGTATTAATTAATAAATAATGCACCAGTTCTGATTACATCCACTAGTACAGTCATGCACCTGAAAATGTCCTCTAGAGTTTGTATCTGGTATTCCACACCAAGATAAATTCCCTAAAATATGTTTAGGATACCCAGAAGTACCAGAATATTGGGAAATTTTTTTAAAAAAAAGAAGTCCTCAAATAATACCTGTAAAAGCTGAAGAAAGGAAAATGAGGGAAGGTCCCCCACACGAAATAGCATATACTAATGGATAACTTTAACCTGTTTGTTTGTTTTCACCAGAATCTCACCGAGCCCCTTTGTCAGCCAGTTGTTGACTCCATGAGGAATGGCATCGTAGGCTGTATGGGGAGAGTAAATCCCGATTCTGTGCTCCAGGGCTCGAACAGCCGTTCCTTCCAGGTCTTCCACGTTACTCGCTTGAGCGGCGTGAATATGGGAGGATGGTAAGAAAGAATGAGGTCTGCTTTCTTCTGCACCGCCTCTTCCATCACCTCCTCGGTGAGATCGTTAGTGAGGAAAAGGGTGTTCACAGCGTGGGGAGGACTTGGCTCCACCAACAACCCCACATTGTCCCAGCTTTCAGCCAGGGAGAGGGATGCAAAGTCATTCAGGGCCGACACGAGCTCTCGCAGGTTCATGATGGAGCGTGAGGGCAGGTGGCCCCAAGCACGGACGCAGCGCAGAGTCCGCCGAGCCAGCGGCGTGCCGGGCAGCAGCATGCGGCTCCCTGCAGCGGGAGAGAGCCCGGGTCAGCCCAGGC